CCTTTACTTGGGCTTTGACGAACTTTAAAACAGTTTCGAGTGGTAGGTCGTCGTTAGCGCAGAGCGAAAGAAAAGAGTATGTATGAAGAAGAACCTCGTCTGTTTCAACAGCTCTTTGGATAGCCATTTCTACTGCGGCCATTGTTGTTTTAGGGTAGGCTGAACTCTCATTAGCAAGGACAGTTTCGGCCAATTTTCGCTGGCTGTACGTTGATATGTCTTGAAGGTATGCTTTCCAGTTATAATTTGAAGACCCACTGGTCACAACAGTTTGCACGAAATAAGCAGCAGCAGCTAAGGCCTGTGGCTGAAAATCGAGAAGTTCAGCGACATTTTCTGCTTGTACTCGCTCGGAAATTTGTGATACTTTTTCCAGCAATTCCACTGCTTCGTCCCGCCTCATTCCTTTGCTTAACGATTCATGATACGTGTGAGGAGCGTGTTGAGGAATTGTACCACTATCTTGAGTGGTAATCAGCACTTGCCCATGGCCCCATTCTTTACTGCCAGTTTGAGGAAGCAAATCGCCGACCAAGCGTAAATCAATCACATTGTCTGCTATTATCAACCATTTAGTAAACTTGCTGGTCTTCGGCAAAATCAAGCGATGGAGCTGTTTAATTGCTTCAATAGGTTTCTCTTCTTTTATAGATTCTAAGCCTTTCAACGCGTATTCTGTTATCCCCAAGTGTCTCCCAAGGGTGAGGTAAGAGTTAGCAAGTTTGTCAATGCTTTCTGTGTTCAGTGTCGCCACAAAGATAAGATCATTGTCTTGTTTAGAAAAGAACTGTTGTCCGATTTCCCGGGCAAGTTGGCTCTTGCCACATCCTGGATTTCCTGACAAATACACTGTACTGACTGCTCCGCTTGAACTTTTGTAAAGTTCCTGCATTTCGTTAGTGATTCTTTCAATGTCATGCGAGCGCCTCCTAATTTTTTCCACTTCCTTCGTCGGAAAGGTCGTCTGGTTCTTTATTTCTTGAATCTCAGTTATAGCCAGACCAAGGGATGTAAAAGCGTTCATCACTCTGTCTACAGAAGTTTGGAAGTCGGCATCTGTCAACTTAGCCTCAGTGATATGAGCGATCTCGTTTCGCACCTGACGAATATCATCGACCTCTTTACGGACAGCTGGGCTTAAGGTTTTACCAATGCTGTCTGAGTACAGAATGGCAAAAAACAAACAGGTACAGTCCCACTCTGCCGTGTCACCATTGTGGATTACTGCCAGACATCGGGCGTTTTTCTTGCGACTTGCTTTAGATTCTTTGTTGTAGAAATCATGACCATTTTGTGCCGTGTCTTTCCATTCTCTAGTTAACCGTCCTTTATAAAGGAAATCCCACTCGTTTTTGAAAATCTGCCGCAGTCCCTCTGGAACCAAATCAAATGCTATGTAGCAGAGTCTGAAGTAGTTTAGTTGCTCCTGCGAGTATTCCATCACCAATTTATAATCCTAGTAAGAGATATTGCCTATTAGCTTATTTTCTCGTCAGGCCAAAACAAAGATTATTTACTTATCATTTTGAAAATGGGAAGAATCATCGCTGATTGTGTAACACAGTTATTCCATAAAATGATTATGAAAAGTAAGTAACTAATGATAAACTAAGTTTAATACGGGAAGCTAGGTAAGTAGCTATAGTTTTGCGCTGATAGATAAACGACTGCGTCTAGGCTTCAAACACAACTTGCTTTCCAGGGACGTGGCTCAATCAGCAATGTGTTTCTACCACAGTACCAATGATCTAATAGACGCCAGCGGCTTTTATTCAACAATTAATGAATGAGGGTGAGTATCTTATCAAGAATTATGGAGATCGAGGAGGGTGTTATCGGCCGAGGCGGATAACACACTCCGAGATCTCCATAATTCTTCATATGATGCGAAAGCCGAATTCAATAATTGTTTTATTATTCATTCAAAATTATTCCTAGTTTAAAGACATGGGTAAAACATGCTTTCCTCCATCGATCCATCGATGTTAAGTTCATCTTCGACAGTGCACGTTTAGGTTTGTCCAGCTCCGCAAATATTCTCCAAGTAGCAGATGTCGTCTTTCGAGTTGTCTTCTTGCTGTTCTTGCCATGT